AACACCAGAATGTTTCCTTCCTGCCTTTCTTACAGGATTAGGCCAGTAATTTCTTCTAACAACCGGTTCTCCGAACTGCTTAGAATATTAACAACCGGTTCTAGCGAATAGGTGCAAACCTGTAGAATCCCACCCCTGATACTACTAGTTTGGCCCAGTTCTGCCGAACCTGTAGCTCCGAAGATCAGCTGAGACCAAACTGGTTTGCTCCGATGATCTTCTGTTCTTCTGTTTGGCCCACCCGGGCTCTAGGCTGTCCTTTATTTCCTGCTTTTTCAACTTCAGCTGCCTCGTGCGGCACAGCTCATTGCTGCGTGAGCGCTGTGGTACACACAGGGCTTGCAGGAAAATATGATTTTCAAACATTGCGCATGCGCATGTACCGTGCGTTTGGCACGCACATGTGCAAAGCGCATGCTCACTGAACCGATTATTAAAACCGCTTGGATCCCAACCCTGCTATGCTTCTAACAGTTGTTACAACATGAAGCTTCTAGCACCAAAAACACTTCTGCCCATGAATTTTTTAAAACAACAAATAATTAAGGAGAATTTTAAATGTTGTAAATAGTTGCAGATCTTGTATCACTATTTCCAACAATCACAAATTACTTCCAGAACACTGAATGCCTTTGCTTGACTCGTAGAAAAAAAAAGAGTAAAAATTTAAAAGGACATTTATGTACAATTTATTGCTGTCAAAAACAACTTCACTCTTCTAGAAGTAAACACACAATTTATATATATGCATGTTTTGAAAATGTTTGCATTATTTAGGGCGCTTGAAAAAACTGAGGACTTCAGTTGTTATAGAACATCCATCTTATTCATGGAAAAAATGTTACAGGTCTGGAAGAATATTATCTATTTTGGTAATTATTTTGAAACTCAGTGTATGAAACTTAATAAATTCAACTAAGTAGATTGCATATGATAAAAATATATTTTGTTTCTCTTTTTATGAAATAATCCCTTAATCCCTTTTGTATATTATAGTTGTAAACACTCTCTAGTGCCATCTGGTGGATCTGATATAAACTGCCTATTTAGTAATCAACATAGGACAGTTTTTCCCTGCGATATTCTTAAGTTGGACTTTGAAGAAGCAAGATAGGAAGAGTATCGATGCTTCTGAATGAGATGTCATCTGTCTCTCTCAAGGACTGAAATATTAAGGATTTCCAATTTGAAGGCCTATTAATTCCAGTAGGGTTTTTGTTAGCCATGTATGAAGTTGCACTGCCCCAAACAGAATGCTTCACAACCTGACGGTCCACTTGCTTCGGCTCAAGGAGTACTTGGGAATTCCGGTCAAGAGAGTTTTGGCACAGCTCTGTTTTGTGTGAGATCTGTGATATTTTCCTGGACAGGAAATGTTATTCACTATCATTCATACCTTATTCACTCTGACTGAACTATTGAATTGTGTTTCATATATAGCTGCCATTGAAGAGCATTTATAAGCCACAACTGGCCCAGAACAAAGTGGTTCAAATAGTTATAGATGTATCTCATGATGCCCACATAACACTTATACAGCACTGGTTGGCTTTTGGCTTTGGGGTAGAAATCAAGGTGCTGTTGTCACTTTTTAAAGCAGTGCATTGGCCCTGACACTGAAATGCCCTCTTCCTACCTGGCCTCCAGGAAATACGGAAATATGGCTATTTTATCAATAAAAGAGAATATTTTAGCTCAAGGTTGAAACAATGGGTCCTTAGTGCTCTATGAACCTGGCTGTTTTCTTACAGACATTTCATTAACCAAACTAGGTTTAGTTCATTCACCAAACTACAGGTGATGCTGATGATGTTACCTAGTTTGGGTAATGAAACGTCTGCAAGAAAACAACCAAGCTCAGAGTCCTTCACAGGCTGTTTCATCAAGGCATATAGACTGCTTCACTATAATGATCCCTCCTGAGGAGGAATTTATTTTATTCTTCTGCATATATCTACTGGTGTTATAATAAAAAAAAGCTTTTAAATTCAATTCATAATGTTTAATCCCAGTTACAATCAGAGGAATTTCATAACTACTCAGAGTCAGCTAACTAAAGTAGCCTATAAGTCTTGAAAACAAATTACACACATTCCTCCTACCTCAAATCAGACTAATTCACACAAACCCCTAAATAGCTTCCCAGTCATCTACTGTATTGGGTACTTAAAATCTCTACAAATTTCTTTGCAATTCAGGTACAAAGCCTGTATTTTAAAAAAACAGCCTTTATTACTCTAGTTTTAAGATTTTGCATCTCTTTTATGTGTGTGCATACATCTTTTTTAAACACACTTGCATATTTTACATAGACACACATGTGAACATTTGAACCTTTTAACATCTAAATTTCTTCATTTCATTTAGAAAAAAAATCAAGGGAAGTCTGGTAGCATCTTTCTATTAGCAAATTTAAATAAAAGACAAAAAAAAGATGCTTGCTTTTTTTTTTTTTTTTTTGCTCTGAGTGGGGCATTAAGCTTGATGAGCAACATGTCCCCTTTCAGTGATATGTCATTATAAATCACTAAGATATTTCACACCTCTAAAGGGTTAACAGTGAAATATCAAGGCCTCAAATCACTCACATCTTTTTAGCAGTGAGTAGATGAGTGAGTGAGTTCCAAAAATGCCACTGTGTTTGCTTTTTACACCAACTTCTTAGGTGACAACCAATACAAATTCTCAGAAATGAGCCTGCAGTCTCAATGCATGCTACAGAAAGTGCCTCCATCGGAGAACAATACACACAGAATGTCTGCAGTAGCGACAAGCATATAATTTATGTTTAGCATATTTTCACAACCTTGTGAACGCCTCAATGCAAGTACATATAATGCTTGATTTACAACTGGTCACTCAGTGACCTTTTGAAGTTCTGTGTTCTGACCCATCTCCCCAAGCACGACAAACCCTTTGACCTGAACTCAAAAAGATTCCTTTATAAGGAATGCTTATCCCCAAAGTTAGGGTAGGGCTTCGCTAGCAGCGGTGGCTCTTTCTTCCCAGGATCGGCCCAGGCACTGTTCCTCCTCTTCTTCATCAACCACCTCCAGATCTGTCTCTGTCTCTCTGTCTCTCTCTCTCTCTCTCTGCCAGCTCCATTCCTTCTTCTCCCTTGGAGTTCTCAGGCTGCCTTGATGCTGACCCTGACTCCCACGCCTCCTCCTCCTCTGCTGGTGGATGAGCTGGAGGCTGACAGGCCACAACATTCTGTGAAACCCCCCCCCCCCCCCGAGATTTCAAAGTTCTGACCGCTCCCCGTGGTCACATGACTGCATTTTGCATGATTGGCAACTGGCCCCTATTTATGGCTATTTGCAGTGCCCCGTGGTCACATGGCTGCAATTCATGATGGTTTTTCCAGCATTTAAACCAGCAGTTAAACTGGCTCATAGAGAACAACGGGTTTGTTTAATGGTATACAATTAAAGACCACATTAAAAAAAAAGTTGTAACATTGGGTCCAGTCACATGGTGCACTGCATTATGACTGTTACAACTTAAGATCATAATCACCTGGCTCAATTACCATCATAGTGTATGGACTACCTGTACTATGCCAAGGAAGGAGAAGGGGGAAAGGTTTTCCATTTATCACGCTGTTGCCCCTAATTAACTTCAATATATGTCTGATTCAGATATTATATTTTATTCTAACAAACCATGGCTTTAAAAATTAGCTGTCTGCTCACGTTGCCCATTCTTCATATGCCCAGCTTAGATATTTTTAAAAAGTATTCTACTTTACCAAACAGGAAAGCCAGTTTATAAATAGCATAGGAAACCAAAATCAGATCAGAGGAATTGTGGCTTTAAACGATATATAAAGTTTTGCAATTGAAATGGACCTTGAACTAGTGGCTTTTCCCAATCCCTTGTCCTGTTTCTGCACCAGAATGCAGAATGAAGGTTCTGTAATTGAGACATCTGGAGAAAAACTTGAACAACATGAGTCTAGGGAGTTTTCCTGCCTGCTATGCATATAGAAGGCCATTGCTTAATGTGCTAAACTACAGCTACTTTTATTAATGATTCTCATTATTTATTCCTCACAAAATGTAAGAGAAGATTGAACAAAAATTACAAGAGTTATTTATTCCTGTTTGACAAATACCAGATGCACTGAAGGTTGCCCAATAAATCTATATCTTCTATAGGATTCTAAGATTAGTGTTCACTAATGACCTTCTCATCTGGCCTTGGAGCAACTTCCTCCTAGGAACCTTGCCGCCCTCCCCATTAGCTCCAAGCATACACTGTGACTTGGCTTCCACCTGTGACCACAAGGCATTTACTGCAACTCCCGTATTGTCTTTGCCCTCCCCCCACCGTCCTGTCCACCTTGGCCCTGCTGGTGCAGAGCAGAAAGGGAAAAAAGGTTCTAGGACTTGGCTAATTCTTCTATCAGATGGCATAGGATCTCCTGCCTTGAGCAGGGGGTTGGACTAAAAGACCTCTAAGATCCCTTCTAACCCTTGGGTTCTATGTTCCACTTGCATCAAAAGCATTACAGTTAGTTTTCAACTTACAGCCATTTATTTAATGACTGTTCAAAGTTACATCGGTACTGAGAAAAGTGACCAGTTCACATATTTACAACCCGTCTCCATAGTCACAGAATCAAACTCGGATGCTTGGCAATTGGCATGTATTTACAATGGTTGCAGCATCCCAGGGTCCTGGGACTATTATTTGCAACCTTCCTCAGCTTCTGACAAGCAACATCAATAGGTGAAAAAGATTCACTTCATGACTTCATGATTTATTAAACAATTGTAACAATTCACTTAACAACCATGGCAAAAAGGTTGTAAAACAGGGCATGACTCACTTAACAGCTGCCTTGCTTAGCAGTGGAAATTTTGGGTTCAGTTGTGGTAATAAATTGAAAACAACTTGTAGCTGAGTTATTTGAAACACTGAAACAACAGAAAGAACAACACAAAATAAACTCAGAATTTTATCAATTTTCTTCTCTATTTTTTAAATTTCTGTACCTTGTGGGAGGCACATCAATGTTTGAAGATACAACTTTGCGCTTCTGCTCAAGAAGACAGATAGAACGAGTATTTTCTTTTTCATGATCATGAATTCTGCCAATTTTTTTGATGTCTGCTGTTTTTGAATCTTCCTCCTTCATAGCCAACACAAAAAATTGCTGATCTGAGAGTTTTTGATTTAGATCACTTTTTAGGTCTTCCTTTTGAAATGCTGCAAAGGTCATTTCACGTTTTATGCTGGTTACCTGAAAAATAAAATACATACATAATCAGATTTCTCACAATTTATTTTAAGAGTGAGCAGACTGGGTTAGCCCTGACCTTGCTGACCTGGGGTACTGGATATTTGATTGACTTTGTTGATGGTTATTTTGTGATGTTCAGCTGCTCTGTGTTTTTATTTTATATTATGTATTTTATTTTTTTATTTACTGTACTGTAACCCACCCAGTGTCACATATGTGAGATTGGTGGCCACATAAAGCAAATAAATGCTACTGTAAATTTGGGTGGGTGACGGATTGGACATGTTACTCTATTTACAAAATTAGGATATGTAATTTATTATAGATCTTTCTTGTAAAAATCAAAGCTGTTGGCCAAAGTTGTGGCCAGCATATTTTGATATTAGAACAGTACTTGCTATAGTAAAAATATCTCTGTAATGAAGCTTGAACAGGATACCTTGCCATTAAAAACAACTTTTTAGCAAAGAAAGAATCTGCATAATTTTCTATTTATGTTTCATTTATGATGTAACTGTGGAGTCATTTGACAGGTAGGAGAAGCTTCTAAACAATTTTGATCAGCTTTCTATATTTTTGATATCAGAAAATATTATCTTCCTACTAGACAAAGCAGGCACTGTCTTACCCAAAATTATCATGCCTGACCAGTTGGGACACATAGAGAGGCACTCATTAAGGTCTTTTACTACCTCTACCATCATCACTACTACCCCTTGCACTAGACATTCACAGAAATGTGGGTCAGAAGGCAGGACTTTTTGAAGGTAACACCATTTCTGGAAACCTGAAGGCATCAGGCACTTGAAGACACCAGAAACATCAGAAGACATCAAAACTTTAAGACATCAGGCACCTGAAGATACCATCAGGGCATCACTCCTAATTTTCAGAAACTCCTAATTTTCAGAAACCTACCCAAAACCTTTCTTATAAAATAAGATAGTGGTTTTAATGCTGAGCTATAGAGGTTGACAATTTCATCTTAATTTATTATTTTAGTTTTGAACGTCTGTGGAGATTCTCAGTCATCCAGGTCATGGTTGTCCCAAAGGTGCTTTTTCAAGAGGCAACTAGACTTTATGGTTTTTTTCTCGCTGTCTGCAAGGAGTATACATCTTTCCATTCCCGACCATCCCGTCAAAACTGAAGAAGCTTCTTGGACAAGAAGCAAAATGTTTTCAAAGAAAAACCAGAAAATCCAGTTGCCTCTTGAAAAAGCATCTTTGGGTTTACATTTCAATATTATTATGCACTGTATTTCAAGAGAAATACATTGTTATGTAGGATTTAGAACCATAGGATTGGGGCTTATATACACTGCTCAAAAAAATTAAAGGGAACACTTAAACAACACAATGTAACTCCAAGTCAATCACACTTCTGTGAAATCAAACTGTCCACTTAGGTAGCAACACTGATTGACAATCAATTTCACATGCTGTTGTGCAAATGGAATAGACAACAGGTGGAAAGCATAGGCAGTTAGCAAGACATCCCCAATAAAGGAGTGGTTCTACAGGTGGTGACCACAGACCACTTCTCAGTTCCTATGCTTTCTGGCTGATGGTTTGGTCACTTTTGAATGCTGGCGGTGCTTTCACTCTAGTGGTAGCATGAGACGGAGTCTGCAACCCACACAAGTTGCTCAGGTAGTGCAGCTCATCCAGGATGGCACATCAATGTGAGCTGTGGCAAGAATTTTTCCTGTGTCTGTCAGCGTAGTGTCCAGAGCATGGAGGCGCTACCAGGGGACAGGCCAGTACATCAGGAGGCGTGGAGGAGGCCGTAGGAGGGCAACAACCCAGCATCAGGACCGCTGCCTCCGCCTTTGTGCAAGGAGGGCCAGGAGGAGCATTGCCAGAGCCCTGCAAACTGACCTCCAACGGGCCACAAATGTGCATGTGGTTGCTCAAACGGTCAGAAACAGACTCCATGAGTGTGGTATGAGGGCCCGAAGTCCACAGGTGGGGGTTGTGCTTACAGCCCAACACCGTGCAGGACGTTTGGCATTTGCCAGAGAACACCAAGATTGGCAAATTCGCTACTGGCGCCCTGTGCTCTTCACAGATGAAAGCAGGTTCACACTGAGCACATGTGACAGACGTGACAGGGTTTGGAGACGCCGTGGAGAACATTCTGCTGCCTGCAACATCCTTCAGCATGACCGGTTTGGCAGTGGGTCAGTAATGGTGTGGGGTGGCATTTCTTTAGGGGGCCGCACAGCCCTCCAGGTGCTTGCCAGAGGTAGCCTGACTGCCATTAGGAGCCGAGATTTGATCCTCAGACCCCTTGTGAGACCATATGCTGGTGCGGTTGGCCCTGGGTTCTTCCTAATGCACGGCAATGCTAGACCTCATGTGGCTGGAGTGTGTCAGCAGTTCCTGCAAGACGAAGGCATTGATACTATGAATTGGCCCGCCCGTTCCCCAGACCTGAATCCAATTGAGCACATCTGGGACATCATGTCTCGCTCCATCCACCAATGCCACATTGCACCACAGACTGTCCAGGAGTTGGGGGATGCTTTAGTCCAGGTGTGGGAGGAGACCATCCGCCACCTCATCAGGAGCATGCCCAGGTGTTGTAGGGAGGTCATACAGGCACGTGGAGGCCACACACACTACTGAGCCCCATTTTGACTTGTTTTAAGGACATTACATCAAAGTTGGATCAGCCTGTAGTGTTTTTTTCCACTTTAATTTTTAGTGTAACTCCAAATCCAGACCTCCATGGGTTGCTAAATTTGATTTCCATTGATAATTTTTGTGTGATTTTTTTGTCAGCACATTCAACTATGTAATGAACAAAGCATTTAATAAGAATATTTCACTCATTCAAATCTAGGATATCTTATTTTTGTGTTCCCTTTATTTTTTTGAGCAGTGTATATATTTTTGTAAGCCAGCAAATAAATAAAGCACATAGGAGATTTTGCTAGTCTGCATCAGATGAATGCTAATATTAAGTTTTCTTCAAGTCTAAGTAAAAGGTCAAACATTCTTTTTCTCAGGTTATTCTATCTCATTGGATTCTGCTTGAGTTCTGAGATCACCACTCCAGGTGTCAAATAAATTATATAAATTAAATAAAACAATTATTATGTAGATCAGGCTTATTTGAAAGTGAATATGTTCACTGATACTTCTCTTTTTTCTTTTTTACCCCGAAACATCTTTTAAAATTGGACTTCATGTTAAATACTGTATATATTTATCACTAAAACTTTCTCCTCATGAAAAACCACATGATTGTTCCCTTTTGTAAGTTTAGGAGTTTAGGGATAATTTGTCAATTTCTTTGTTTTCCAGATTTTGGGCAACTGATTTGAAAGTACTGTGCCTTCTTTTAATTATTTGTTTGCAGATCTGGACTGAAGGGGAAGTTCATAGCGGTTTACATTCTCCAAGCAGCAGAATAATGTACTAAATAATTGAAGTTACAATCAGGTTTAAATTCATTTTTGAAGATCTGGTGGTTAAAAGAAGGATTCGCAATACAGAAAGATGTATTAATTTTGATATGACACATTTAAAGGATAAAACACTACAGAAGTCCTGATATGCACATCTAAAGATTAAAAGCAAAAAATATTTTTAAAATCCAGCAGCTGTTTCATAAATAAAACTAGAACAATTATTTAAGAACATAAATGATTTCCAAGCTTTTTATCTTTTGATATACAGACAAATGACACAAGACTAAGAAAATATATTTCCCCTATATTGTAAAGCAAAAGGCTCATAATATTAAATAAACTATTTTCAGAAGTAAAACTTTCACTGAAATAATCATGAACATGTTTGAAGGAAAAACAGCAGAAAAGAAGTTGTTTGACAGAGAAGCTGATTTTCAACCACTTAGCTATACAGAAACTTGATGCTAATTCTGAGACAATTCATTAAATCTGTGTAACTAGATATTGATTTAACATGGCTTTGCATAAGATGTCTTCCTAATGGTGATTAGCTAGCTGTGTATATCTTTTAGAAAGCATAATATTTATTTTTATACATCATTAGGGATCCATTATTTGGGACATGCAAAATACCACAAAAAGAAATTAATCAGTGTTTGGATAGCAGCACAATTAATTGATTAAAGACAATTGCCAGCTTAAGAACTTCAACCAGCTACTATTTCATGACACATTAACCTAGCTATTAAATGATATGCTGAATTATAAACTAACCTTGTGCAACATATCTAGGCTACCCATAGTACTGTACATGTTCAAAAGATGTGTGAAGTCCATTATGTAGCTATTTTTATATACTGGTATGTATGTGTAAATGTACCAATAAGTGTGTGTGTGTGTGTGTGTGTGTGTGTGTATGTTTGTATACATATGTATGTATGTAAGTACATAAATTCACAGATTCAGTATTATTTCCTTATGGGAAATAGGAACCATGAACATTTTTCCCTAAACCAAATTTATTTCATATGCTCACCATATTTGAAAATAAGTGAACATTAAAGTATGCTTTTGAAATATTTAAATTGCTTAATAAATATTTTCAAAACCATGTTTTTGGAAATTCTGCTTCAAATATCAATATTATCTGGGCTTTTTCCAAAATGGAAAGCTTATCTATGTAATACTATAATCCTCTAGTTACAGTCATTCATTTAGTGACTGACTGTTCAAAGTTACAAGTTGAATACTTATTTTTTTATTGAATTTTGTTTGTATTGTGTATAGTTTTATATAATTTTATCTTTTTAATGTTGTAAGCTGCCCAGAGTTACCATGTGGTAAGATGGGCAGCCAATATATTTAATAAATAAAATCTATATTGTTAATGTATTGAAATAATTTAAGGCAGATGCATCAAGCTGACGGTGATGGGATATAGCAGCAACTTCTCTCATGGTTTCCTCTTTTTACCTATCCTGTCTTGGGTGACCTGAATTCATTCAATTGGCACAAATAATTCCTCATGAATTAATTCAACACAATGTAGCCCAACTGTTATTTATCCATGTCCTCCTACTTT